GGTACGCGGGTCTCACTGCTGTGGCCTCTCCCGCTGTGGAGCACAGGCTCCGGACACACAGCCTCAGCAGCCATGGCTCACGGGCCCAGCCACTCCGCGGCATGTGGGATCTTCCTGGACCGGGCATGAACCCATGTCCCCTGCATCGGCAGGCGGACTCTCAACCACTGTGCCACCAAGGAAGCCCTAAACCAATTTTTAAAAATAACTGGATCCACTTTTACTAATATCCTCTGCTAGCTCTTGCCCTCCTATCTACTGGATAGATATATGTAGGTAATTCACAGGATACAGTCCTCCAATAATGGCAGCTCTTTCACTTCCCCTCAGTTTCATCTGTTACCTGTAAATTGATGACTTAGGGTGAAGGTCCAAAGCCCAGGCTAACCAGCATACCCGACAGCCTCAAAAAATCAAAGACACCTACTCTAATTAAACATGCTAATGGCCTGTTTAAGCAGATGGCCCTGCAAAAATAAAGGGTAACTAGGTCCCTACTCCACCACCTTCTGCTGCAGGAACTTGGTCAAGTTACCTCATCTTCTTAGTCTCAGTTTCCTCATCTGAGAAAAAGCAAAAATATCTACCTTGAAGTTAACATAAAACTAATGAGATAACATATAAAATCCTAGCACAGCACCTGGCACACAGTATGTGCTCAAAAACTTCAATCACCATGAAATGCAAACTTGACCCTGTCACCTCCATGCTTTCGATAACCTTTTAAAGATTCCTCCATAGTCTTTAAGACAAAATTCAAATCCTGACACAAGATATATAAGATCTTCCTTCAAGATTTGACTTCTCTTTCTCCCCTCCTCCCCCAAGTCAGAAGTACACTCTCTCTCTTTTGAACTTCTAAACCACTCTGTTCAGACTGTTCTCAAATTTACTAATCACATCTTACCCCTACTAAGGTTACAATTTCTTTACAAACACATGTTTTTATTCATCATTATACCCCTATTTTATATGATACCTAGCAAAGAGTAAGCACTAAGTATGTTTTTTATTGAAATCAATTACTTACTTTACTGTAGGAATAATATTTGGCTGAGGTTTTAATAACCGTAAACGATACCACATACATCTTCCATATACTTTTCTGATATTCTTTAATCGATTTTGCTCTGTCAAAAAAAGAAAAATAAGGTGATAAGTTCAACGATTTCCACAGTGAAGGCAAAACCAGAGTTAAAACCATACTAATCTTCATTATCATGCTAATATTATATTGGAACATCAGAGTACTCTCTACTTAAACTTTTAAGAAAAATTCACAAGATAGGCTAAATTTTCTACCACTTAGAACAAATGATCTATCTGGAAAATTTTATTCAACTACCAGGCAATCATTTTTCTAACTGAAAAAATTAAAAACTGACTTGAACCCAAAATATTTAGTTATATTATCAGTAATTTCTGAGAAATTCTCTCCTCCTTTCCTTTCTGCTATAAAAGTAACAAAAAGTGTAAAATAGTTGGAACGTGCACTTTATTAAGGAAGCCAAGCAGAAATGATAGTCTTCAAATATGAAAATAATTATGTTAAATGAGAAAAGTCACCCAAACCCATAAGAAGTTAAAATAGGTTTATATAAGAGTTATAACAAAAGGTATTATTTTAGTCCCCAGGAAAAATCTGCAATTCAATTAAAAAGGAATTAAACCAAAGCCAACATATCATATACTGTTTTACTAAGCTCACCACAATCACTTGGTTTGAATAACTCTCCCAAGTTTAAAAAAAAAATTAGGTAAGTTTTAAAATAAAAATCTACCTTTTCATGAAGATGGCATATAGAAAGCAAAAAAAGAAGCCCATGCCACTCCAAAGCCAAAGAAAAAAACAAAAGCTTGGAAGGCCAAGAAGGCAGTGCTAAAAAGCATCCATATCCACACACACAAAAAAAGAAGATTGCATGTTACCCATTTTCTGGGTGGCTCAAGACACCCCGAAGGCAGCCCGTTTATCCTTGGAAGAGTGACAAGCTTAACCACTATGTCATCATTAAGTTCCCCTTGAGCAGGGAGTTGGTCATGAAGAAGACAGAAGACAGCAATACACTTGGGTTTGTTATGAATGTCAAAGCCAACAAGCACCAGATCAAACGGTCTGTGAAGAAGCTCTACAACATTGACATGGCCAAGGTCAACACCCTGATCAGGGCTGATGGAGAGAAGAAGGTATGTTTGACTGGCTACTGACTATGATGCTTTGGATGTTGCCAACAAAACTGAGATCATCTCAACTGAGTCCGGCTGCTTAATACTAAATAAAAATTTTTTCACAATATTAAAAAACTACAAAACCAAAGTCCTTAAATGAGATCTCAGGTAAGTAAAAGAACTTTGCATATAATAGAATGTTCCAAAGCTGCCATATAAGAAGCCCACCAACCCTGTTATCACCATGCTTCCAGGAAAGAATCCACATGAGAGAGCTATGTGGCAGGAGGTATCAGAAACAGGTGTGGTGAAGAGGGATCCATGTAGGGGGAGGGGTGGTGGCAGAAAAGGAGACTGGTAATATGCAGGGAGAATTATCAAGTAAGTTAATATATTAAGGATAACTGCAATCAGTTTTTCACTGTCAGAGAAGGGAGTTACATATGTGAAAAACTAGAAAACATGAATGAACTCTGTGGTATTAGAGTGGAACTGAAGACATGAGTAAGAACTAATTAATATCTTTTAATATAGAAATATAGATGTAGATCTATACACATACATACACATTCTCTAACTCTATTAAGTGAGCCTAGGAACAATGACATCTCAATAGCAGTGAGCACACCTAGCACCCAGATCTTGATTTCTAAATAGCATTCTCTGCAAATGGGAACCAGAGATCCAAGTATCTTCCCACAAAATAGTACAAAAGGGAAAGAATGATTTTACAGTGGGGAAGTGTGATAGGCTGAATAACTGCCCCCTGTCAAGATGTCCACCACATCCTAAAACCCAGAACCAGTGAATATATTATCTTACACGGCAAAAGGGACTTCACAGATGTGACTAAATTAAAGATTTGAGATGGGAAGATTATCCTATATTATCTGGGTGGTCCCAATATAATCACAGGGGTCCTTGTAAGGAAGCAGGAGGGTCAAAGAGAAGATGATGTAACAATGCAAGCAGAGGTTGGAGTGATGTTATTTGAAGATGGAAGGAGAGGCCACAAACCAAAGAATACAGGCTGTTTCCAGAAGCTGGAAAAGGCAAGGATTCTATTCTAAACCCTGCAGAAAGAACCTGCCCTGCCAACACAATCACTAGCCCAGTAAAACCGCCCTTGGAAGTCTGGCCTCCAAAACTATAAATTTGTGTAATATTAAGCCACTAAGTTTGTGGTTTGCTACAGCAATGATAGGAAACTAATACAAAAAATCTGGTGGACAACATCTTATCAGGTGATCAGTGAACATCACCAGAAATGGGACAAAATGCAATCATATACCATCTAACAGAATGCAATGAGAAGAACACAGAATCAGTTTTGTGAAATTCTTCTCCAAGATACATAACCTGAATCTAATAATGAGAAAATACCAGACAACCAAAATTCAGGTCCATTCTACAAAATAATTGGCCTATGATCTTTAAAGTCAAGGAAAAACTAAAGAACTGTTCCGGACTGAAGGAGACTAAAGAAACATGTCAACTAAATGTGATGATGTGTGATTCTGAAATGGATCATTTGCTATAAAGGACATCATTGAGACAAGTGACAAAACTTGAATAGGTCTGAAAATGAAATGGTAGTAATGTAAATTTTCTGATTTTCAGTTAAATTATGGACACTTTTGAAAACACCACGGGTGATTTTTTAATCTGGATATCATTAAATTAAGTCTCCCATTTTAAGTATGAAACCAAGGAAACATGTTATAAGAACATGCTGAAGTCTCTATTAACCACATGGCTTGATCTATTCAAAGGAAAAATATTCTCCCAACGTTTCTGTCCAAGAGAAAGTACACATGGTTTTCAGCCCCCAAAGTCTTGCACAACATATACATGCACCTTGTATGCCTCACTCTTCCAATCCAAAATTTATATCTTAACCTTTTAGCAGAATATTCAATCAGTAAGTACTATGGGGTATAGTTTACACAGTAACACAGTAATATCCAGCACCACTCAATATTCATAGTACACATTCCAAAATTCTATACGAATGACCTCAAGTCAAAGTAACTATCAAAAGTAAAGTCCCTCGGGCTTCCCTGGTGGCGCAGTGGTTGAGAGTCCGCCTGCCGATGCGGGGGACAAGGGTTCGTGCCCCGGTCGGGAAAGATCCCACATGCCGCGGAACGGCTGGGCCCGTGAGCCATGGCCGCTGAGCCTGCACGTCCGGAGCCTGTGCTCCGCAACGGGAGAGGCCACAACAGTGAGAGGCCCATGTACCACAAAAAAAAAAAAAAGTAAAGTCCTTCCACAAGGAGGGATGGATTGGGACTTTGGGAACAGCATATACAAACTATTATATATAGAATAAACAACAAGGTCCTGTTGTGTAGCACAGGGCACTATATTCAATATCCTGTAATAAACCATAAAGGAAAAGAAAAAAAAAGTAAAGTACTTTGAGAGTTTTTAAAGACACTTAGAATAAAAAGAAATTCATTTATCAACTTCTAGTTTATAGAATTACTAGTTTCATGGCCAGCAAAAATTACCTAATATCATTAACTTATAATATAGTTTTTAAAGAGATTATTCACATTTATAGAAAAGGGAAATTACAAGGTCATAAAACAATTCTGTGATTTAAAAAAAAATAACAACATATGATGATTGCTCTCAGCAATCATGAAGTTTGTATGTCCACTGGAGTAGTCCAGGCTTGGGGACAGGTTATTATGGTTGTGCTTCACAAGCTATACAGTGCCTTTGCCAAAACAGTCATAACCACCTGTCATGCAGAATGATCTGTCAGTCTGTAGTATAACTGAGTGAACCCTTAGCACCATATTCCTAGAACCTAAAGAGCTGAAAGAATGTTAGCCACATCCGGTCTTCAAACCTGTGTGCCTGCTTACCACAAAAGAATTTTTTAGAAATTATGTACCCTCAGGCTTCCCTGGTGGCACAATGGTTGAGAGTCCACCTGCCAATGCAGGGGACACGGGTTCGTGCCCTGGTCCAGGAAGATCCCACATGCTGCAGAGCGGCTAGGCCCGTGAGCCATTGCCGCTGAGCCTGCGCGTCCGGAGCCTATGCTCCGCAACGGGAGAGGCCGCAACAGTGAGAGGCCCGCATACCACAAAAAAAAAAAAAATCATGTACCCTCTTGTAGAGTTCTAATTTGACATCTAAAATTTTCATCATAAGTTTGAAGAGTTGCAAAAGATGTTGTTTCTGACATAAGTTGATATTTTAAAATAAAATAGTTTCATTGCTTTTAAATGTACCAATGAAATCTAAAAATCATAATGGCAATTTCATATCCACCATCATCCATTTACAGAAATTTATGAACAAGCTCTTCATTCTACTTCCCCCACCTAATTTTATCCTAATGTAATATATTTTTATCCTGGTAAGTCATATCTTATAATACTGACACATACTTCTTCAAGTTAATTTGTTTTATTCCCTGTGACTATTTTTCCTAAATTTTTATATTGAAAATTTTCAAGCCTTCAGAAAAGTTGAAAGAATATTACAATGAACAATACCCTTCACCTAAATCCACCAACTATTAACATTCTGCAACTCTTGGCTTTATCTCTAGTTCCTTCTTTCCCTCCCTCTCCCCTTTTTTTAGAATAAGTTGCAGACATCAAGACACTTCACTTCCAAATGCTTTGGCACGCATGACCAAAGAACATCAGTAATTTTACCACAGTGAAGTTTAACACATCCATAAGGTTTTTTATGTGTTAAAATTTCTGCTGCTACTTTTATCTGTATGTGTGTGTTTGTTATCAAGGCAACATAAATATTACAAATTGATAAATTACTAAAATAAGAGTAAAATATCCGTTACGCTTTCACTTATAAGCAACTTATAAATATCCCATATGTTCAAAGAGTTGAAACTCTAAACACTGAAACTTAGTTTTAAAAATAAAAAGTACACTGTTGTCAATATGGCACAATGTTAGGTAAAATAGCTTTATCT